AAAAAAAAAAAAAAAAAAAAAAACCCTAATATAAATTCTAATATAAATATTAACATAGTTTAAGAGATACTTTAAATTCCTAATAAATATATATCATGGTAAATATAGAACTTTACCTTTAATTGAAAGATGGGGCAGGCATAGTGGCTCATGCCTGTAATCCCAGCACTTTGTGAGGTTGAGGCAGGAGTGTTGCTTGAGCTCAGGAGTTCCAGGCCTGGACAACATAGTGAGTCACCTGTCTCAAAAAATAAGAAAAGGGAAGAAAAGATGAAAGTAGTTTGAGGCTATTGAGTTACAGAGAAAAGGGCTGAGTGATGGCATCATCATAGGTTACGGGCAAAGTTGGTGCAGGCATTTTTGCTGTGAATGTAGTTATGTACTCAAGGGTGAATGGCTACGGTTCACTGTCTTGTGTTGATTTTTTTTCTTCCTTTGCTCCCTCTGTCCCCTTTCTTTCTCCTCCTCCTCTTCTTCCCCCTTCCCCTTCCCCTCCCCCTTCTTCTTCCTTCTTCCTTCTTTCTTTCTTCTTCTTTTTTTTTTTTTTTGTCACCCAGTCTGGAGTGTCACCCAGGCTCATACCACCTGGGCTCAAGCAATCTTTCCCAAAGTGTTGGGATTCCAGGTGTGAGCTACCTTGTACTGCCTTGTGGTTGATTTGCCCAAAAATGGGGGTGGGGGGTGGGTAGAACACTATTAGAAGTTCTTTTAAAGCATATGGTCAAAATGAACTCAGAACTGCCAGGAGAAATCACACATACTGCTAGATTCCACAACTGCTTTTATTATAAAACAAAGCAACATTATTGTTTATAATTTTATTATTATTTTGTTTTTTGAGAGTCTTGCTGTTGCCTATGCTGGGGTACAGTGGTGCATTCTCAACTCACTGCCACCTCCTCTTCCCAGGTTCAAGCGATTCTGCTGCCTTAGTCTCCCAAGTAGCTGGAATTACAGGTGCCCACTACCATGCCTGGCTAGTTTTTATATTTTTAGTAGACACAGGGTTTCATCATGTTGGCCAGACTGGTCTCGAACTAACGTCAGGCGATCCGCCTGCGTTGGCCTCCAGAAGTGCTAGAATTACAGGCGTGAGCCACTGTGCCTGGCCAAAACACACACACACACACACATACATACATACATACATATATACATATATTTATTTATGTATTCATTCATTCATGAATGACAGTCTCATCTCACTCTGTTGCCCAGGCTGGAATTCAGTAGTGTGATCTTGGCTCACTGCAGTCCCCGCCTCGTGGGTTCAAGCAGTTCTTATGTCTCAGCCTCCCAAGTAGCTTGGTGGCATGTGCCACCAAGCCCGGCTATTTATTTATTTATTTATTTATTTATTTTTGAGATGGAGTCCCACTCTGTCACCCACGCTAGAGTGCAGTAGCGCAGTCTTGGCTCACTGCAACCTTCTCCTCGTAGATTCAAGAGATTCTCCTGCCTCAGCTTCTCAAGTAGCTGGGATTACAGGTGCCCACCACAATGCCCAGCTAAATTTTTGTATTTTTAGTAGAGACAGGGTTTCACCATGTTGGCTAGGCTGGTCTTGAACACCTGACCTCAAGTGATCCACCCACCTCGGCCTCCCAAAGTGCTGGGATTGCAGCCATGAGCTACCACGCCTGGCCTAAAAACAACATTATTTTTTTTGTTTGTTTGTTTTTGAGACAGGGTCTCCCTCTGTCACCCAGGCTACAGTGCAGTGGCATTATGTCGGCTCATTGCAGCCTCTGCCTCCCAGATTCAAGAGATTCTCCTGCCTCAGCTTCCAAAGTAGCTGGGATTACAGGTACCCACCACAATGCCCAGCTAATTTTCATATTTTTAATAGAGACGGGATTTCACCATATTGCCCAGGCTGGCCTTGAACTCCTGAGCTCAAGCAATTCACCCACCTTGACTTACCAAAGTGCTGAGATTACAGGTGTGAGCCATCGCACCTGGCCTAGAAAGCCTTAAAGAAGTATTAAACAGCCGGGCGCGGTGGCTCACGCCCGTAATCCCAGCACTTTGGGAGGCCGAGGCGGGTGGATCACGAGGTCAAGAGATCGAGACCATCCTGGTCAAC